AATTATTAGAAAGAAGTTACTATACTTCTTCTGCAGAAGGTCTTTTTCATTGTATTTCTATTCATTGGTATCCAGTGGGCCTTTTTTGCAAATATTAATTAATCAATTTAATTATTTGATCAATTAAACTAGTCAATGAATAAATTGTCAAAATAAATTAATTAATTAGACGCTACTGTACTTTTTCTGCAGCAGGTATATTTCTCTGTATCTATATCCGATGATATCCAGTGGGCCTCTTTTTCTAAATACGCATAATCGTTGTTGCCACTGACGGGAATTTGACCATCCTTCCAAGCTAAAAACACAATAAAAGAAATTGCATCATATTATAGGCCTTCTTATTGGTATCCTAAGGGTAAATCTGGAACGAACGGTTACTTCAGGTTATAATTTAATCGACAAGTCAAGATTTGCTAAAATAAATTCTTTAATATTAGCCTATTAACATTCTTGTCATTATCTAATGAACTTAATTTAACGAGCTACCTCTTGACTACAGGAATCTAAAATGAGTTAACTTCTAAGCTTTCACTGATCTACAAACTTTTGCTTTGAGAATACGTTAATTTATTACTGACCTACAGTATACACAATTGAGGGGGTCTGTAAATAATTTGAACGATATAATTTGTATTTCTGTTAAGTTCAGGAAAATATTTTTTCTTCAAATTTTCAAGCAAGTTCAATTTAGTTCAGTTCACAAATAATGCAAAATGTATATGCAATATAAAATACGTCATAGAAAACAGGAACTAATTTATGCTAACTACTAAAACGCAATTATTATTATTATTATTATTATTATTATTATTATTATTATTATTATTATTATTATTATTATTATTATTATTATCAGTTAGTTGACTAATGCATTTTGTTAGGCTATATCAGGAAACAGTGAAATTACTTATTTCACTGTTCCTGGTTATATTAACATTGTTATTTTCAGCCATACCCTTTCCCTGTAATGGGATGAATAATGTCTTCTTTTATCCTTGCATTAAATATGTACAAATTGTAAAATACAAAATGAGAATGTTCCAAAAAAATATGTGTATTGTATACCTTTCTTACGAAGAGGCAAATTTAATTGAACAGGTTGGCTTATACCCCTGGTTCTTAATTAATTTCTTTGGCGGGCCAATTTTTTTTAGAGAAGATCTCGCAGGCTAAATTGAATGTACGCCTATCTGAGGCAATATAAACGAAAGTTTGCCTATGCATAACAAATGTTAGTTCAGTTATATGATTACAAAGATTTTAAAGATTAAAGCGGAATATTTTGAACAAAATAAAATAAATAAAATAAATAAAAAATAAAAATAAAATCATAACAAATTATTTTTAATTATTACGTAAAATATACAAACACAAACAAACTATTATTGCTTGCTTAAATCATCACTAATCTTGTTTTAGTGAAAGTCCAACAAAAATAAAACATCCTGTTTTAATGGGAACAAGCAAAGACAGTCCATAACCATAGCAATACAAAATAAGGCTAAAGCAGATATGTAAATGATTAGCTATGTTTTTAAAAACAATCAATATCAGTGAGGTAAATGACTAATGGAGACCTTAGCAATTGCAGTAAAATCCGGTGTCAGGGCTGTCAAAGATCTCCGCATCAAGTTCTGGAGATGCTCATTAATAAGTCGACTTCTATATTTGTTTTTGATTTTTTAAGTCATATTTGAAAAGCCGCTTTCACATGTGTATGTACTACTAAACATAGTTAAGATGGTGATGGCTAGCTTCTTCAACCAACATTCTATCGTCGTCATTGTATACACAGTTATCAACACGAAACGGTACTTCACAGCAAGAATAGGACCAGAGAAAAACAGTGTCTAGCAATCAATTTTTATCTTCGGGCTTATAACGCACTCACCGCCTTCAAACCCTCCTCGAGGAATATTACTCAGGGTTTCCATTTTGGTTTTCACTTTATTTCAAAAATATTCATCAGATTATTATTCATTTTTTATTATAATGATTAACAAACATTAATTATATAATTTGATTTAGCGCGGGCCAGCCTAAATGGACCCTCGGGCCAAATTTGACCCGCGGCCGCCTATTAAGAACCAGGGGCCTATACACAGATATATTATAATGCTATAACATTGCTATTTGTTTAAATTTTTTAAATAATAGGCCTATTATGAATCATCTTATCATATTCACTTTATTTTTGTTGACCAGTTCTAACGGTTCCTGGTTTTTGTTATCGGTCGTACCTCAGTTCTCTGTTACAGAATTGTTATTTATGGTGGAGCAATATGAGAGTATTTTTGGGTTTTCTTCATAAATGATTAGTCTATAATACAAAAAATAAATATGTTTGTTTGAAATTTTTTAAAAAGTTTTCTCTCCAGAATTTTCAACGATAATATATCCTAATATTATTCTCTGAACAAAAAGCGGCACTATTTTTACCTGTGAAATCAGCCGGTTGTCTGTTTGCATCCCATATCCACACTCCGTTCTGTCTCCTGATACCTAATATTATTGGATCTTGATTCATCAAGTTTGCGGCTATGAAGTTATTTTGTTCGACATTTTCGATGTAAGCCATCACGTAACCTTTACTACCACAGTGAGTTTTTAGTTCATTAAATTTCATGTATGTGTCATCAAAATAGAATTCAATATCTCCAAACATTAAGATCTTGGAAGTAGCAGTTGCAAAATCTGTAATATTTATTTATTCGGAATTACACTTTTGAATGAATGACATACATCAGAATGGATAGTGCATCCATACAATAAAAAAAAAAAACATGAAATAAATAAAAGAATTATAAACAAAAAATTGTTAGATACGTACTACCTAGAAATTGACAAGTTTAAATAATTAAACCTTAGATAAACATATAAAATAAATAAGACTACTTAACTTACTAAATGATGACCTAAATCCACACAAAGGAGGAAAGATAAATAATAAGCTCACCAAGCCTCTCAGTATTCTTCTCATCATCTCTTACTGCTAGTCTCTTCATCTTTAATCTCCCATCCATCTTAATTCTTTTTTTTCTTGTTATTTGTCATTATTTGTTTTTATTCAAAATAATACATCCATTTTAAAAACCATTTCAAATACGGTATACAAACGATATTGAGGACACCAGTATTAACATGTGAAAACTGTTTACATTAAACTTGCCATATAAGGAATACATAATTTTTTCAAAGAAATACAAGTAATCATGTCAGTTTGTTATTTGACACCTTTCTTCATATACACCAAATAGGCCTATACCCTAAAAAAGGGAAAATATCTTATCATTTGACCATTTTGTAATTTTATAAATTTATGTACTTACCTGTATGTAATATTATAATTGACATAATTACGTCAATTATATATATATATATATATACATATATAATATATATATCTGTCTCTTATACACATCTAGATGTGTATAAGAGACAGGGGCTGAGGCTATCGGCACTGCCGCAGTGCCATATGTATGTATATATATGTATGTATATATATATATATATATATATATATATATATATGTATATATACGCAATTAATTATATTACTCTATGCGAACGGCAATCGAAATATTTATTTATTACTAGTTGAAGTGTGTTTCTTCATATAAAAGTAACTTTCATGTGATTTATTATTATTCATTGTGCATTACACAATCCTCTATGCAAACGGCAATCGAAAAGTCTTAGGTTCAAATTAAGAACTTAAAGTTTCACCTTTTTGAGAAATGTTACTGAGTTTGTTTTCTCCTGCGCCTTTATTAAATTTTGGAATTGGTGCTATATAAATGTTCATTATATTATTATTATTATTATTATTATTATTATTATTAAATCAATAGGGACAGTAGTTTTTCTCAAAAATGTATTACCGCCATAATTAATTATCACTAATTGAATTGTTTCTTCATATAAACATAACATTTCTGTTAGCGTTAAGTGGAATAACAAAACCGGTAGAAACTTTGCAATCCGTAAAGGCACAAGGCAAGGTGGCCTATCATCGCCATTTATCTTTAATGTTTTTTACAAAGATCTTGTAACAGGTCTCCAAAATATGGATTGTGGCATCATTGTCGCCAAAGCTAAATTTAATGTATTCAGCTACGCAGATGACTTGCTATTAACTAGCTTAACGATGACCGGGCTTCAGAATCTTATTGCTTATGCCAATGATTACATTGTATCTCATGGTCTTCGTTTTAATCCCACGAAAACGTCACGTACCAAAAAACCAGAATGGACCCTAAATTACTATTCATTGAACATTTAAAATTCTGTTACTTATCTTAGGGTAACACTACATAGTAACTTAAAAAGCAAGCCACACACTGACGAACGTGTGCGTAAATGTCAAAAAGCTTTTTATATATGCTTCTTATATATACGTAAACATGGATCGAGTATCGAAGTTAAGCTTCGTGTATGGAATAGTGTCTTAGTTCCAATTCTTGTGTATGGCTCTCAATGTATAAATTCACCTAACTTTATATCCTTGGATAAAATGCAAAGTAAATTATTCAAGACGGCTTTGGGTATGCCTAAGTATTGTAGATCACCATTGCTGCATGCTCTAAATCTACCTAAAATCAAAGATATTATTTTGTCTAATCAAATTGATCTCCTGTCACAACTGCTTGTTAATGATTCTAACTCTAGAGTATTTTATTGCCATCTTCTTAATTGTGAAGCAAAGAATAATATGTCGTATAAGAGTACTCTCATTGACAGAATCAAGGTTAATATCGATAGAAACGTGTCCTTTGTTTCTGTTATATTTAATAATGTATACAAGGACGTTTAAAGGCTGATATAAAAAGTCACAATTGCGTAAACCATGGAATCTGTGACAGTATAAAGAATTGCTTATACAATAATGAAATTCATACAATCATTAATTTAACAAGAGCATTTTAAATTTCCGTACCTTTGGTTTTTGTATAATGGATGCGAGTTTCTTTTGATTTATTTTGTATTGTGAAGTTTTATTGTATTTTATATATTTTTACCTTCCCCAGCCTGGGGGTTTATGTTGAATAAATTGAATAAAAAAAATGAAAGTTACTTTCATGTGATTTATTATTTTTCATTGTGCATTACACAATACACATTGACCTTATCCGACTGGTTCATTTTGTTATTTGCATTCGGTTGGTTCGTATTGACTTCGTTGATGACAACGGAAATTAACGTAAACCATAGTGCGTTAATTTGCAATAAGTTCACGTAACCAAAAGAAAGAAAAACATGGCCGATTCGTCAGTTTAGCACAAACTGTGTAAATACAATTTAGAGTAAATTTCAGGAAAAAATGATTATATATATATATATATATATATATATATATATATATATAGGTTTTCATAAAATCAAAAAATACTTGTAGGCTAATAGATTTCAAAAACTACATGAACATTGTTTACGGTAGACTTCACTACCACAAGCAAAGCAACATTGATTACATTAGCGTAAGTCGCGGTAACTACGCAGCCATTTTGTTTAGTTGAGTAGGCCTATTTTTTCAATTTTTCTGTTCGTCTAGTCGTATTTGTAAGTAGGATTTCACTACTGCGCAGGTAGGCTTGGTTTAACAAAGAACGACCAGTCGTATACGACTAATGTGTTATTCTAAATTTATTATCTTCTTCAAATTTTTGAACATTCTGCAACTGTTTTGATATTGTATGTGACAAGACCTTGCACATCTTGATTGTGTTTGTTATAAGGGGCATTAGTAGTCTACCGCAGTGGTTCCAAGCCTGAGGTTCACAGGGGTCCGCAAAATATTTGGTCGTCCGCAAAATATTTGGTCGTCCGCAAAATTTTTAGACAAATTCTTAAAGTTTCTGTTATTTTTCTTGTCTTAGTTAACACCTTACTGCCAATCATTAGGTGCCTTTTCAATAATGAAGTACCTTTGACATTGGCATAAAATTCGTTCATTGTAAAGTGTTTTAACTGGCCATTATAATAATTATAATTCCAATATTTCATTGCTGATCTATTAGAATTTTTTATATTGTTTATGTATATTTTTATAGTTAGTATAGGAGGGGCACTTGATAGTGCTTGCTTGTACTTTTGGCAATCCTCGGGTAATGAACACCTCCTTTGTATGTTTTGTCTTGTATTGCTTTTACCTGAATATTGAATTAAACAAATATAAATAGGGGATAAAAGAAATTTTCATTCAAATTTTCAATGTTACAGTGCTCCGGCCATCTAGAAGTACCATAGACATAAAAATGTTGTACCACAGTCCCCAGCATTTCGGGGCTGATGTGGTATCGACCCATTGTCTGTAAAATTCATTTCTGACACACCTCTATTTCGAATTCCAGGATCTGCCACTCTTAAATGTTGTACTTTTGTGGCGAATAATCTTCGATCAATAATACAATTGCAGAAATTTAACATCATTCTAAATTTTACAAAATTAAAGATAGATGGGGGATAAAAGAAAATTATATTTTGAGTCAGACAATGCCATTTTCGGCCATTTAGAAGAGCAATAGACACAACAAATTCCGTACCTCAGCCCCGACCCTAGTGTGGCCGAGGTGACCTAATCTCTATCAGTAAAAATGATTTTCTGTTTTTTATTAAATTTTAATTTAATAATACTAATTAACTAAGAATTTACTTTCTCGTCCAACCCGCTATTTCGAAATCCAGGATTCGCCACTGTTAATGTTGTAATTTTGTAGCGAATTTATAATCTTATTGTTTGAATATCGGCAATGAGTAAAGGCTTTTAACGTCTCCCAAGGTGTTCACGAATGCAAAAAGCTTGAGAACCACTGGTATAGCGGATCGGACTCGAAGGCGTCAGCATTGATAGCAGTTACATATACAGACAAGTTGTTTCTCGACAGTGTGGGGTAGAAAAGCCATATTACGATAGTTTGCTTTGTGATGCGATTTGAAATATCGATGATTATTCTTATGTCTTAGATATGGTGCAAATGATGCGTTTACAGTATGAGATTGTAGTGGAACTTCTCTAGTTGTTTTGAGCCTCTGATTTTGTCTTCCTAATTAAAGTGTAGAAGACTTGAGTGACCCAGCAGGCAACTGACACTCAATTTTCGCCTTACACATCTCACAGCTCTTTTCTGCCCCTTTTTCAGTAGTACCCTTATATATACATGGGATCCAGTCGGACTTATTTCACACATTTAAAAATTTTAATGCCAATGTATTTAATTTTTGATTCTGATATTTGAACCTGTTTCATATGATGGTCATGTAGGAAATATGTTATTACCTTTTACTGTCGTTTATTAGATAAGTTTATCAACATGCATTTCTCTGAATGGTATTCCATGACCCACATATCTTTCTGTACCGCTTGGTCAGTCGATTCCGATTATCAACAATACAATATACAAATTTCTAATATTAATAACTAGATGATAACGAGTATTTACTGAATTCGATAAAGAAACAAATAGGCTTACGTACATTTGGGTGAACAATTAAGAATGAAAGTGTAACAATAACTTACCAAGGCAAACGTGATATATAACAGAATATATAGCAATTAGACATATATATTTCCTCACCACCATTCCCATGATGACATCACTCAGAATGCTGTCCCAACAAGTGTACGCAATACAGTAAATGATTACGCTTCACGATCGTAGATTTACGATCCTCTGCAGTAAATGTAGTTAAAACATGTTTACTCCCTGTACTAAATATACTGATGGAGTGTTAGCTCAGTAAGACGTCAACCTTCTTACTCATTATTTCTTACAGCAAGAGGACGTTTTTATCAATTCATTAACTGATATAATGGTAATGGTTTTATAATTGCATAACGCCTTCAGCATGAAGGATCGTTTCAAAGCTCTTTTAAAAATAATTTACATACAAATTAAATATTATGATTATAATTTGAACAGACGGCGACTAATTAATTTTGCAAAAAAGTAGTATTTATTTGAACAATAAATGTTTTTCTCTAATAGTTTTTGACGGAATATTGTGGAGTAAAATCGTACGGCGACACATTTACTAATAACGTATTACAATCATTATTAATAATATTACTATATATTATATTATTACTGTATTGTATTCTTGTTATTTCAAAATTCTATTTTATTATTAAAATGAATTACATTGTTAGTACTGTTATATAATAATATTATTTTTAATACTATTATTACCACTATTGATATCATTACAGAATTATCATCATCCGTCATCATCATCCTCATCCTATTCGTCATCGTCATCATCATTCTCATTGTTGTCATCATCACCATCGTCATAATCATCCTTACTGTCATCGATCATTGTAATCATCACCACCATCATCATCACCACATCATACTGATCCATATATCATCTATCGACATCGTCCTCATCTTCATCACCATTCTCATCAATCATCTATCGTCGTTATTATCATCCTCATAATATTCATCCTCCTAATCCTTGATCCTTTTCTTCATAATCATCCTCATCATCATATTCATCATTATCCATCATCATCTTATTATCATCAATGCCATAGCCAGCTATTGGGACAGTTAGAACAGTCCCACACCATTTTTCTAAGGGGTCCACATTTTAAAAAATGGGTCCAAATTATGTAATTTTATGCATAAAATGGGTCCACTTTTTGAAAAATGGGTCCAGAATTCTCATATTTAGCTTAAAATGGGTAAAATATAAGAAAATGGGTCCAGATATTCATATTTTTGGGTAAAATGGGTCCGCATTGTTTTAATTTACACGTATAAGTGGGTCCACTCTGATACTGTCCCGCACTGTTTGAAAATCCTGGCCATGGCATTGATCCTCATCCATCATCTTCACCCTCATCACCATCCTCACCAATCATTGTTAACATCATCAATGTTCATTATACTAATCATGCTCATCCATCATTTTTTATTTTATTTCATCGAAGTCCAACAGTGACCAAGGTCACCATTTACAGGATTGAATAATAATAAAAAAAAAATAATAATAATAATATATATATATATATATATATATATATATATATATATGTATATATATATATAGATATAGATATATATGTATATGAATATAGAAAGTTATAAGGAACTAAATACTACTAACATTATTATGTAGAAATTTGAGTTTTGTAATGTTTTACTTTGTACGGTAATTAATTTCTTATATTATTTAGATACTTTTCTGCCTACATTTGTGTAAATAGTTTCCATGTAAATATTGTTGTTAATTGTGCAATTGATTAAATAAAGATTTAATATAAAAGAGTGATAAATCTTGATGTATTCCTTGTATTTGAATTCTTCTTTTTTATGTAATGCATGGTGTAAAGTAGGTGGGGGAAAGTCCGGGGGGATTGTTTTGGGAAAAAATACCGGGGGAAAGTATCTGGGGGTATGCCAGCCTGCTTCGTACGTTGTGTTCAATTAAAACTTTCTCGTTTAAATTGAAATAATTATTGGAGTATATAAGTTCTTGTTCCTCAAATCGTAAGTCGACGTTATATTCCCTGCAATGTTTGTGTGATAATATTGTCAATTTATCCAGTAAAGAGTATATATGCCTACCAGAAATCTGTCTCTTATACACATCTAGATGTGTATAAGAGACAGGTAGTTCTTGTTCCATTCAGATTAAGTTTTGATTTTATCAATTGCTTCATATCTGTAAGATAGCCTAATGTTTTTAACTTTTGAATACTTTTTTAATATTATATTAAATATAATCAAACTATATAAATAATTATAGTTATAATTATAGTTGGTTGATAAAAATTGAATAGTTATTTAAAATGTTTTACTATTTAATAAATAAATTATTCAAAAATTAAATAAGTTATTTTATTTAATAACTATTCAGTAAACTTATTAATTAAATTAATAATTTTATTAAATAAGTTATTGTTTTATATTATTATTCAATTATTTATTTATTATTTATGTAATCGTTAATGAAAAAATTATTAAATCAATTATATTCTAATAATTATTTAGAAATTAGATAAGATTTTTATTATATTAAAATAATATAAATTATCAATAAATTATTTGTTAAATTAATTATTTAAATAATTTAAATTAAATTAGTTTATTATGTTACTATTGAGGTTTATGCAGATATAATAAAATGTTCGCAACATTTCATCCATTTTCAAATACAGTTACTTGACACCGTCTGTAAGTACACGGCCAAAAAAGCTCTGAAATTTCATTCAAAATAGAGGGCATTTTGAGTTTTGCACTGCTACTTGAATTTTGTACTGCCGCTTGAGTTTTCCACTGTTGACTCTGAGTTTTACACTGCTCACTCTGTGTTCTGCACTGCTGACTCTGATTTTGCACTGCTAACTCTGAGTTTTGCACTGCTGACTGTGTGTTTTGCACTGCTGACTGTGTGTTTTGCACTGCTGACTCTGATTTTTGCAATGCAGACTCTGTGTTTTGCAATGTAGACTATGAGTTTTGCACTGCTGACTTTGTGTTTCGCACTACTGACTCTGTGTTTTGCAATGCGGACTCCGTGTTTGCACTGCTGACTTTGTGTTTTGCACTGCTGACTCTGTGTTTTGCTGCTGACTGTTTACAATTTTTTTACTTTTTTTGGATCGTAATCAGTCGTTTTCTCTATGCCTAGGTTTACAGACTATTCTTAACCGTGATCTACACCAAAGAATAATCCGATGAAGAGCCTTTAAGAGTTGTGTATATATAGTACAAGTGTAAATCTACCGCAGGATTTTACGTGTTCTGTTTGCTTTCGTCCAGACGTGCGCTTCACAATGTGTGTAGGCTTTATTTCTATACGTTGTTGTTTCGTCTCATTAATAACACCTTACCGTCCTATATAGTGAATTGAATAATTATATAATAATAACTAAAAAATAATGGTACCGACATTCTGTGTAGGCCTTTATTAGCAAGCAATGAACCAAAACCTGACGAATCGTATAACTGCATTTTTTATCTTTCGTCAGATTTCAGTCAGTATTTTATAAATGTCAATAATAATAACTATATAAGAAAGATGGCATAAATTTATCTTATTATTACTACAGTTCAGTGACCCTTGATACTGTGTTTTATTTCGCTTTGAATGGTCAAACTGGATGAATCTCTTAACTTGCAGAAACATATCAGCTACATAACTAAATCTGTCAGCTTCTATCTTTGTAATGTTGCACTCATTCGACGGCCTTTCGTGTAAAAATAAAAAATCACAGCTAAATCAGTGTGCCTCCGCAGTTAATGGAAGGTATTTCTCATATTAGTATACTTGCATGTTTTGATATAGGCCTACCAGAAATAAAGCATTCAAAACCCAAAATATCAACTATCGCATATGAAAGCTATATCAGTGTATATAATATACTTATGATCAGAAATTTAAAAATAGCTGAATGATATGAAGCGTATATCGAATAAGAAATATCGGCTTTCAAATATAGCAGGTATAGACTATCATTGTAGCAACAGGTTTAAATTCAGGTATTTAAGAATAGCTGAATATAAAGTATATTAGGAATCAAAAGTAATAACTATTAAATATAACTCCTATATCAGTCCACAAACTTAAATTCAACTACTTTAAAATAGCTAATATAAAGCATTTTTGCGATCAAAAGATATGTGTTTGCTAATGATGCTTGTAGATAAGTGAAGCTAAATGTGCATTATACATATAATCCTTGAAATCATATACATCTTGGAAAGTTTAAAAACTTTCCCAAACAGTTTGTCAATTAATTTGTTTTACCTTAGAAATTACCAAAAACCGTAACTAGCACAAACACTTTATGTGAATAAAAGCATTAACAGAAGCTAGTCTGTCACTTATTTAACCAAACGCATGAAGCTTGAATAGTTCATTAGTTTTGTAAGCAATGCGCCTAGATATGGCCCGGTATTCAATATCTGCGTATTTATCTATGACGCTTACTGACGCATAAAGGCTGCACCCTTTCGTAAATTCAGTCGGCAGTGAATTAAAAACATTTCTAGCTGGTATCTTTACTCTCAAAAATTCACCTGGAGAAATACTAAGACCATTATAATAGGTTTTGGCATTTGTGAACACACTCCAGACCAATTCTCGATCAATGGTTTTTTTGCTTTTCTCAACGCTTGCCATAACGACATTTCTGCCATGCTTTCGGTAATTGTGTCCACCATTGCACTGTCTGAATCGATGATTGTCTGGTCCGGCGATTGGGTTATAAACAACAATGTTCCAATCCCTCCAATTATATTTTTCAGTGAGAAATGCATAGAATGTGTCAGCAAAAACACTGTTACTCTTGCCACTTAACGAAGCCAACTTGTTACTTAAATCGGTTTGGCTCTGAGTTCTAAAAGCATTAGTCACTTTTTGGTTTACAATTTGCATATGGTCAGTTAACTCTATGATATGGTCTTCCCAAGTTTCCTTTTCGTCTTCATATGTGGCATCTCGACCTTTGGCTTTCAGGTAAGATAAATGGATTTTCACACCCTGTA